GAGCGATCACATCCGAAAGGAGATGAAGATATTCACGGTAGAATCAATTGCAGATGCGAGCGTGAAGGTAATTGCCATCGAGGGTAAGCAAAAGAAGGGTAACGAGGCTAAGGGAGACTCCAAACAGACGGGAGGCGAGTCTAGTGGATCTCAATCTAAGGAAGAGAAGACGAAGGGTGATCCAAAGAAAACAGAGCTGATTTGTAGTCACTGCGAGAAGACAGGGCATACAGCTGATCGGTGCTGGAAGAAGTATCCTCATCTCAAGCCAAGAGGGTTGAAGAAGAAGCAGAAGAAAAATGCATACATGATAGCTCAAGGTCCGAAAGAAGTCCCGGGGATGACAGAGCCCAACAACAGTCTTAACCTTATGACGGGAAAGCAGACCACGAAAAAAGACGACGACCCAAGAGAGCAGCTCTTTGTTCTTAAGTTGCAAGTGAAGACCAGTTTGGTGCCATTGTTGATTCGGGTAACGAGAAGAATTTAATATCCGAGGCATTGGTGCAGAAGCTGGGTCTGAAGACGGCCAAGCATCCGAAGCCCTATCCATTGGGGTGGATTCAGAAGGAGGAGAAACTGAGTGTAGTTGATCAATGCACTGTCAGATTTGCGATCCACGAGTCGTATATTGACGAGGTCACGTGCGACGTCGTTCTATTGGATGTTTGTCAGATTATACTGGGTAATCCGTACTTATGGGATAGATATACGATCTACGAGAGGTGGGCTCGGAAGTACACCTTCACTAAGGATGGTGTAAAGTTCATATTTCATTCGGCATCTCTTCCAAAGGAGACAAGCTTGGGGACGGTGACGCGAGCGAAGAGATTAGTGAATGCAAGTAAGAAGTTTGTCTCGCTATGCATTAGACTTTCAAAAAAACCATCGACAAAGGATTGTAACTTAGAGCGAACTGTGACTACGATGAGACGCAGGACGAATGAGTTGTTTTCGATTGGACGTTGTTTTCGATCGGACGTCGAGACCGGATTCCTAGCAAGGCCAGGTGGTGTAGAAAAGATGGAGGAGCTCAAGAGTTTCTTCACCTGAAGTTCTTACTTGAACGGGACTTTAAGTTCCTAAAGAGGGGACCCATGATACGAGTGTATCTTCTCTTCGAAACTTAGCGATCCTCATGGGAGCTTGAGGATAGATGATTCTCATGATAGCATGAGAATAGAGGTATCAAACAGTACAAGGGAAAGCAGGAGGAAGCGTGGAACGAGACGACGAGTAGAAGAATCGAAGTATCTAGTTTTCAGTCTGTGAGTCGACTCATAACAGTCATGAGTCGACTCATCAGGTTGAGTCGACTCATGACTGTCATGAGTCGACTCATCACTGATTTTTGAGTTTTGTCCAGTTTCTAACGAGTCGACTCATCTCAGTCATGAGTCGACTCATCGATGATTTCCTGGTTCGTTTGGGTTTCTGTTCACACGAATTCATGTTGGTTTTGGGTTTGGTTATTTACCAAATTGACATCCATATTTGTACACCTATATAAATGATTGTTTTAGGGTTTCTAAACAATCAGAGAGGTAATTAAGAAAGATTCTAATCATTGTATTAGGGTTTAGTGAGAATTGAGAGTTTGTTCTCGATTCTAATGAGATTGTGATAGAGGGATTATAATCTTTTCATACTCATAATCTAGAGAATGTATTCTCCTTCGCCATATACTGAATTGTGCTTGTGTTTTAGTTCTCTTCTTCTCAACCCACCTTTGGGTAATTCCGCGACCAAAGGATGCTCGCACGACAACTCGTATCAATGTGTTAGGCTTTTTGGCCAGGTTCCGACTTGAGGAGTGGTGCGATGAAGCTATCATGGCTTCGTCAGATATTTTAGGGCAACATACCAGAGGATGCCAGTATGGAGACGCTTCAGTTTCATGCTCGTGCGTACATATTGGAGGATTTTGACGTATACGACGCACTATCGTGGGGCAGTTCGGTGTTGACATACTTGTATCAAGAACTGGGTAGAGTATCCCTGATGCAGAATAAAGAATTCAAGGGATGCTGCACATTAATACAGATTTGGTCATGGGAGCGCATTCATATTGGACGACCTACTTTACTTGTGCACCGTGACCTACATGGGCGGTTTTCTTTGGCATACATGTATAATTGTACATACAAATTTTATTCGTACTGAATTTGTACTTATATATTCTCTATTCTGCATATAGGTATAATGTGCAGTACGCTAAGTACCAATCAACGACGTGTCATCGTGAGTTTTTACCGAAATGAGCTTGATGGCCTCCAACACGAACATGTAAATATAAATCTTAAGTCGTTATGAATATTATAGTTTTGTTGTTGATACTGATAAATGCTTTATTTTATTTCAGTTCAAGTTGAGACCCTATACACCACCGGAGCTCAATATACATTCTCTTGCACCCATCTGTCGAGATACTCCTGACTTGTGGAGAGCCAGAGTTCTATTGATTTGTTGGGAGATCGTGGAGATACATGTCCCTAATCGTGTGCTACGACAGTTTACGCTCTCTCAGCATGTGCCAGATCCTGTCGAGCAGATCGATCGTCGGTGGCGACCTACTTCGCATCGTATCGACTGGGCCGTAGTCCGTGTGACCTACATAGATAGGTGTGCTCACAGGTGGGATTTTATCCAGGATACGATGCCCATAGCTATTGACTATACCACGTATATGCGTTAGTATAGGGGTATCACACGTAGATAGATCATGTGTGACCCACAACCATCAGCTGGACATATGCCACACCCACCGACAGACAGTTACATCCCTAGTGGGATGAATGAGAGAGATTACATAAGTTTCTAAGTTAAATTATAACATTTTTTAATGAGTTGGTGCTTAATAAATTGTTTACCTTATAGGTCCGTGCTTTTGATGGCATTGAGGCTGATATTGATGCGCACGTGCCTGAGATTCAGGATTAGGTAGCGTTAGGACTCGCACAGGTGTTTCATAAGACTCATGTCGATGAGTTTGCAGGCCGTGAGGACAAGTCTCGATCATTTGGGCAGGCGTACACTCGGCGCCGACGACCACGTGACGATGACGCCGGCACTTCGCATGCCGATGGAGCCGACACTTCGCATGCTGATGGAGCCGATACTTCTTAGCCTCATACACAGCCGGATACTCAGATAGTCGAGGCTCATCAGCATGACCGCAGGGGGCGGGGAAGAGCGAGGGGGAGGGGGAAGAGAGGAGGTATATTGGGTTGTATTTGAACTTATTTTGTTAAAATTTGTAACTTTTATGAATATTCAAATACTCTACTTTTGTGGATCAATTATTATTCATGTATGTACTCTTTTTGAGTATTGTTTGATTCGTGCATGTTTAAATCATATATATATTGTAGTAATTTTTGTTAATAGGTAAATAGTTATATATATATATATGAGTTAAACAGGTAGATATATACAAAACATGCATAACATAGCAGTCTGTGCATGTTTTGTAAAACCTACAGCTTACAAAACATGCAGCTTCATAGGAGTTCAACTCCCGTGAAGTTGCAGTCTAAATTTCCCAGAGAGCGATTCTCTGAGAAATTTGGCCTGTAACTCCACGGGAGTTGAACTCCCGTGGAGATTTTAATACTCTAACAGACTTCACAGGAGTTCAACTCCCGTAAAATCTGTTCACTGAATAAATCTTCACGGGAGTTCAACTCTTGTGAAGATTTTTGAAGAAATTAATCTTCACGGGAATTGAACTCCTATGAACTTTAAAAATATGCTAAACTTCACGGGAGTTTAACTCCCGTGAAGTTTCGTAATTTTTTTTTTAGAAACATACCTGGTTTCAGCGACAGGGCTGAAACCAGGTCGGAAACCAGGTCGATTTTTAAAAATAACTTCGAAACGGGTCATTTTTTGCAAATAAAAGTCCAAATATGAATGTTTCAAAAAATTGTCCGAGATAATAATGTAGCCGATGGACATCATGCTCGTAACACAAAAGGATCTAATAAGTAAAAATTACGCCTACAGAGCTTATGATAGGAATCCTTCTAGTTTGTTAATATTTGGTAGAAAATATATTGCACCGATGCTCATTAACATATCCAATTTTTTTTGAAGAAAGTGAAACACAACTAACTGTTTATCTAAAAATAAAAATATGATATGATAAAAGCTATGATCAAAACATATGAGGTTATTAAAGCCACGATAATGGTGAGTTTAACTTAAATTTAAGTGATATGTGTCATCTTGATTATTAATTGCAATGAAATTGTAATTTTCACTCACAACAGATAACAATTTGATAAATGGGTAGATAGTAGAGACTTTAGTTCTTAAATTTTGAATAACTTGCTCAGTTATTGGTTTCATTCGTTGCTAATTGAAAAACATTGTTCTCTCGGGAACACACACTTCATCTTGAAGACTTGAGCTAGAATCGGGGATCGACAAAGTCCCTTCTCCTCAATTACTATACTATAATTCTGAACTAAAGGTCAAGTTGTTATGGAAAAAAAAAACCTGAAGGGGGTCATGTGAAGTTAACCAAAAAAATAACTTTTCGGTTGAAAGGGTTTGCTTTTCACCGCTGAACCTTTCTTACCAATACAAGTGTACATTCAAAGGTCTATCCTTATAATTGATTAAAATTTTACATGCGGTATTATTTTTCACTTAATTTGACTATTGAGTATTTGCAAAATGTGCTATTTCTAACGAATCTTTTAAAAATAAACCAGTATTTAAAGGTAAATTGAATATCTTCAATTAAATTTTTAGTATTCTCAAGGTATAAAATTCTAGTAAACTATACTTATACCTGAGAGGACTAACTCTACTTTCTCCAACTAATACCTTTACCTGCAAATTACCTATTTTTTCACAATTTCCAGTTAAATTTGTAATCATAATTAAAAATTTTCAAAGAGGAGGGAAAAAAGTTAGAAACGCTGCAGTTACCTGTATCACCTTTTCAAAAATTCAAATTAAAACTTGGATCTGTCTGAATTCTCTCATTTGCCGCCTATAAATATCCCTCAAGCCCTCCCGCTAGACTCCACATGATTCAAAAATTCCCGAAATTCTCAAGCTCTCTCCGTTCGTTCGAGATCTGATCGTTTTCCAAGTTCGCGAAGATGGTGATCTCTCTACACCCCCCTTCCCTCCCTCCCTCCCTCCCTCTCTCTCTTCTCTAGCTGATCTCTTTCTCTTTCGTTGATCTCAGGTTGTTGCTCAGAAGGTGAAGGAAGCGGAGATCACAGAGCAAGATTCGCTGCTTCTAGTAATTTTTCCCTCACCATTTTCTCGATTTTTATGCTGTAATTAGCTTTTTTCTTGTTTGAATTCTACTGATGATCGATTGACTTCTAGATCGGCAGATCAGAGCTAGATTTTCGTTTTCCTTCGATTACTTTATAATTGGTAGTTCGATTAGCTTGTAGATCCGTAGATTTTCGTTTTGATCGAAGTTTACACTGAATTTTGTGTGATCTCACTGTATGACAAATTCGATTAGCTTGTAGATTCGTAGATTTTCGTTTTGATCGGACTTTGCACTGAATTTTGTGTGATCTCACTGTATGACAAATTTGAGCGGAATACGAGTTCTATGCTCTAATGAGCTTTATTTTGTTCGAATTCCAGCCAGATGATCGTAAAACTTCTAGATCGGTAGATCAGAAGTTGATTTTCGTTTTCGTTCGATTAAATCATAATCTGAAGTTTGATGAGCTTGTAGATCGTAGATCAGCGCTTTGTTTGAGCTTTTCCCTTAGATCGAAGTATATATAACACTTAATTAAAGTGAAGTTTCCTTTTATAGAGTGTGATCCAATTGTTTGATTGAGATCTGAGTTTTATACTGTGGATCTTTGGTTTCATCTATTTGTTCACCAGATCTGGACATCTGATCACGTAAGATCCGTCAATTAGCTGGTTAATGTTTAATTGCAGTATTTTTGTTGTGAGTTTTTGTAAATTTGGGATAATGTTTGGACTAAATTGCTTATTTCATTTATAACTGTAACGATTTCTTACCCGGTTACTCAATTTTTTGGCGTGATTTCAAGGCAAAGGACCAAAATCCCTAAATATGCCGACGACCCTCATATTTTAGAGAATTTCTGCTTGATCGTTTACTTTTTTTATTAGTTTCCTCTTTAATACGAGCAAAACCCTACAAATTTGGGATAGCGCTCAAACTAATTCTAACTGTAGTGGATTTTTGCATGACCTCTCAATGTTGTCCTGATTTCTCTCAGCTAAACAGTGCAGAAGGCAAGCAATTTGTTGGGATTCATAAATGAGTCCAATTTTTGTTGCATTATTTATTTTTTAATTTATGCTGATTTCTCTATTAATTTTTGTTTTGTTGTCTCACAAATTTCCAATGATTTCTCAGTTAGGACAAATCTCTGACGACTTCTCTATAAATAGAATAGAGTTCTAACAATCTTCAGCAGAATTTATAAATTATTCATTATTTCCTGATTTCATCAATTATTTGTTAAGTGTCTTGATCCGTAATATTTTCTACTATAAACAGACAAGAAATCTGCTCCGGATTGCAATTTTCAACATCAGTTACATCCGCGGGCTTTTTCCCGAGAATTATTTTACCGACAAGTCTGTTCCTGCCTTAGGTCAGCTCTTCTTTGACTAAAAACCCTCCTAAATTTCTCTATAAATCCAAAATGCTACATGAATCTGACATTTATCTGTGAGTTTGCAACAGAGATGAAGATTAAGAAGCTAATGCCCATGGATCCAGAGTCTCGGAGGCTAATCGACTGGATGGAGCAAGGTATCCGATGGATCTCTCAGTTGTTGCTCTGTAAATCAAAGTGTTATCTAAGTCAATTTGTTAACTGTAAGGGTTATCTGTGTTTTCTTCACCTTGACTTGGTACTTTTCTATCTAGGTGTATATGATGCACTGCAGAAGAAGTATCTGAAGGCACTTCTGTTCTGTATCTGTGAGGAATTAGAAGGTCCGATGATTGAGGAATATGCATGTGAGTATATACATGTACTGCAAAATTACTAAATGTTCAAGAACTGGTTCAGGTTACTCTCACAATTTATATTTTCTTTGGCTGTGAACACAAGCTTAGCGGTATTATGCAAGGCTTGGAATTCACAATCCGTTGAAATTTTAGATATTTGATCAGACACCAGAACTTTCTTATGGTTGTTTTTTATTTTTTGACTGTCTTTATGAACTTTTAAAGCTCTTTTTTCCCTGCTAGTCACTTTAGGAATCGGAATTTTGGTTACTGAACATAAACATGTCCTTAAAAAATGTGTGCAGTCTCTTTTAGTTACTCAAATTCAAACAGCGAAGAAGTATCCATGAATGTGAATCGGAGTGGAAACAAGAAGAACGGGGTTAACTTCAAGTCTAATTCCATGGACATCACCCCAGATCAAATGAGGTATGAAATAGCGTCAGAGATTTCCTGCACATTTTTTTTTGCAGAATCTCTGGGAACGTATATGGTCTTCTGTCACTTTTGTTCTATTATCTGGTTTTTGTATTATTAAAGTGTTCATATCATACCAATAGAAGAAACTATACTTCATCATTCAAGTAATCCATTAGTATAAAAAATTTCTCATCTTCCAAGATTAACTCGTGTATATTTTTTCAACTTTGTGAGAAGTACAAATATTTCCAGTGTTTGCAAATTGTAATACTGCTGTCTGTCAATCTACAACGTCATATCATTGCTCACTTTATGCTGTTCGGAGCAGTTAGTATTATTGATTTCTTTAATTCTCCTTGTTTTCTTTATATTCTCCAAATTAATATCCAGAATAACCAAATTTCCTGCAGCCTTCGTAACTTCCAAACTTAAACCTGAGGGCTACTTTCTAGCACCAAAGTTGTCAACTTCCTTATAATTTCTCATATATTGTAGGAGCTCTGCTTGCAAGATGGTTCGTACTCTAGTTCAGCTAATGAGGACGCTGGACCAAATGCCAGAGGAGGTAAACATAACACTATAATCTACTGAAGAATGCATGTAAATGTTTGCATGGGTCAAATAATATTTCATTTGTATCCCAGAGGACTATTGTGATGAAGCTCCTGTACTATGATGATATCACGGTATGCTTAACATTCCATTCATCCATTTATTTTTTATTTCTTTTGTGTTGATTTACCTTTCTGACTTAGATATAATTTTCTGTCATAATTGTTAAATGCCCATGGCAGCATGACTTATGAGTGCTTATCAGTGTTCAGAATTTCTGATTATACCCAACACTGAACTTTGTGCTAAAGGACTGAATCATTTCCTAATCATACTCAAAGTCTATTTTGTGCGGAATTGTCATATATCCTAAGCAGCCTATTTACTGGATAACAACTTTAAATTGTCAAACTTATAACTTCCTTATACTTACATTATTAATTTATGCATGCTCCTAATACTTTATACTTCTTGATTAGTTGTATTTTAGTTGTATTTGTTTCTCTGCTATTAAAATCAATAAGTTTCAAACTTCTGTGGAATTGTAAAACTTCTGCTTTGAATTTGTAAATTCTCTAATTCATTTTTGGGTACATTTACAGAAAATTTCTGTAAATGTTTTTAGGATTCACAGAAAATCTGGCAAAAGTTTTAAGATCGACAGTTCCCCTCTATCTTTATATTCCTAATAGCTTTAATTTAATCTTCAACTCAGTTAAAAGAGTTGTATGCATGTATACAGGACTGTAAATGCCTGCAGTATATACAGTCACAACTTTTTTGAACTCATGTTTACTTCACAAAAATTAAAACTGAGGGGGGAGGGTTGTCAATTTTGAAGTCTTAGGGGTATATTTTGCGAGTCCAACAAAACTTGGAATTTGTTTTGTAATTTACCAACATTTTTTGAGAAGACATTTTTAGGGTTTGACTTAACCAAAATGCTGATTTTTGAATTCCAAATATCTTAGAAACTGTTCAAGTATAATTTTCGCCCCATAAAATTTTACTTTCAGACTTTACTGGCTGTAAGTTATTGTAATGCTAAGAATGGGCGAACCAGTTAAATAATGTGGCTGATACCAGATTTTGCAATTTGGCAAGGTGGTTTTACTATGGAGAACAGGTTTAGGTTAAGGATCACTTTGAATAAAGATTGAGTGTTTTTTTTTTCAATGATGCTTGTTGGGAAGGGGAACTGTTCTTTGATACAGTGGGAGAAGAGGAGGGTTTTCAATGAGAGGCCCAGGTTTTTAATTCTAGTAATGCATGAAACTGCACCTGTTTCCATCACTAAAAAATTGAAGTGCTTGTCATAATGCTAAATCTCTATGAACTGGAGATATTTAGTACATAACCAACTACATGAACCAGAGGATCTTGCATTGACGGCAAGAGACCAGTCACTTATAAGGGGACCGTGAGTAGAGGATCTGCCACTGAGGAGCAACCATATTTATCTGGACCCAGGAAGAGTCTAGGAGCAGTTCAAAGGTAGCATGAACCGACTTAGAATTTATTGTCATCATGGGTATGACTACTTTGTAGACCCTTCCGTCACGTCTTACACTGTCAAACCTAGTTCCAGTTTTTCAACTCTAAAGACGCAATATGGTTGGACACTTCCAAAAAACACATCAATTACTCAGCGATTCCATACTGACTTTGACAAGATATTGCAGCCAGGGGACTATGAACCCCCATTCTTCAGAGGCTGCTCTGAGAGCGAAGCTCCTAGTAACTGGACTAAGAATCCTTTAAAGATGGAGGTTGGGAATGTCAACAGCAAGCACTTTGTGTTAGCTCTGAAGGTACTAGGAGAAATATAGAATGCAGATACACAAATTTTCTTTTATGTGAATTTAGTTTCATAATGTAACTGTTATGGTGTGCAGGTCAAGAGTGTCCTTGATCCATGTGAGGATGAAAATGGCGGTGCCCCTGAAGATGAGGTGAGTTTGGGAGCTGATTCAGTACAAGAGGATGATTCTTCATCCTCTGACGGCGAGGTAAAATCTGTTCACCCTTTGAGCGAAGTGAAAATGAAAGGTCAAATTCTTACTATTTTTGATAGCTATGTAGTGATGCATGATGCAATTCACCTTGTTATCCTTCCTTACTGCATGATCCTTGTCTAGAATATTGGGTCATGTAATAAGAATTAGAGTGTGATATTACCTTTTTCTTTTATGCCCATATAAGCAGTTATTAGCTAATTACGTTCTTTCTTAGTCAACAAACCCCTTGTATTTATATAATTTTTTAATCTTGTGGTAGCTGAGAATATAATTTACTGTATTTCAGATCCGTCCATCCTTTGCAGACCAATTTGTTGTGGCTCCAATCGGTAAACCTCTTTTTGGCTTTTTGACTACATTTTTATCTTCTGTTTTTGCTCAAACAGATCTTTGGATTTTCTTTTTTTTCAGCTGGTGAAAAGCGCTCTACTGAAGACAATGCCATGGCTTCTGATGGTTAGTGCTGTTTATAAAGTTATATTAAGCAAACATTAAGCACTGCTATTGAAATTCAGTTGCTTTTGTCATGACTCATGATTTACTTCTGAGCTTTCAAGGATCCCTGTTTTGTATTACAATGCAAATATATTTTCCTCTGAAAATTATTTGCTTGATTATTTGAAATGTTTTTTCTATACGGTCCCAAAGTTTGGCTAATTATTGTCAGTATTAGGTCTGTAAACTTCCAGGAGTCCTCATATGTGTGCAACATAGTGGTTTAGTATCTGTTCAAACAGCCATTCTTCTGCATTTCATCTATACTTCTGTTGCATGAAAAGTTACACTTCAACATTTTTTTTAACATTTTCCATGCAGAAGTGATAGAACATGATAAATTACTTTATTTTCCTTGTGGTTTTCACACTCCCTGAGTTCATAATTTGATGAACAGAAAAATAAAGATCCCTTGCTCATGAATATCATTTCAAATTGTTTTCACTATGATATATTGTTACTATCACTCATTTACTCGTTTAATCAAAGAAATAGCAACCTTCCAGATGAGTATATTATACTGATTTCTTTTCCCTTTGTTTGCAATCATCGGTAAGATGGAAAAAGCATCGCTGTACTTATTCCTCTCTATACAAAAATACCTTTAATATTCAATAGTTCTTTACTGTTTCAGATGATACTCAAGATGAAGTACATGAAGAAGAACTAACATCACGAGTAAAGGAATGGATAAAATCCAGGCACGTCAACACTGTTGACCTAGCTGATGTTCTCTCAAATTTCCCAGATATGTCGGTGGTAATTACATCTTTTTGAGTTCAGTTTCTACATCTTGTAGTAATGTTAGTCTCAGTTGTCAGGGTCAATTTTAAGTTATTTAGGTTATTAGCAAAAAGTGGGACATTTTGATTAATAATAGATACAACATTACATGGTATGCTATAGCTTAATTACAGTGTTAGTCTAATTCTTTTCTCTTTGGAACTGATTTCGCAGGCATTAACTGAAGGTAATTGTGGAGACACAACCCTCTGAAAATCGGTTTACTTGTAAGCTAAACAGAAATGTTATATTATTCCATATTTTCTTTATTGGGACATTTTCAGATATCATGGAACAAGGAAAAGGTTATCAGAAATAATAGTTTCATCTCTATACTTTTTTTAATCTCTCTCTCTTTTCTATTATTAAAAGACTTAACTTCCACAAAAGCAACTCTCAGGTCTGTGATGTGAAGCAAGAGGTTGAAATGCAAGATGTCAGGCAAACTGAGAAAATTAACAGAAGTCCTGATCTTGATTTCATGTACATAAAGGTAAGCTATTATTCTTATTTTATTTGGCATGCAATGTTTCAAATAAAGCAATACTATTGACTATTGAGCCTTCTCCTTATCTTATTTTATTATTATTATTTAAAAATTACTTTTACCTTCCGTTCAGGCTCTGTATTATGCTCTTCCAATGGATTATGTGACAGTAGCGAAGCTTCAGAATAAGCTAGATGGAGAGGCTAAACAGAATACCGTTCGAAAATTGATCGACAAGATGGCTCAGGATGGATACTTGAAAAGCTCAGGCAACAAGAGATTGGGTATTTATCCTAACTATGAAGCCTCATTTTAGGAGATCATAATTTAGTATTTAGATCACTAATCAATACCTGCTAGTAGAATTATTTCACAAAGTTAATCTATTTAAGCGTCATACTTTCTTTAGCTATAATATATGTAAGCATCATACTTTCTTTAGCTACAATAGAACAATATTGTGAGGCATAGGTAGCCTTGACCTAACCCCTAGAGAGTTAAACATTAATATCCTTTATTTGCCATTTCTTGTAAGATTACTTAAGTTTCATGCAATTTATTCTTACTGTTTCTTTGTATAACATTTCTAGAAGTTGGTAAGAGTTAAAAAAAATATTTCCAGTTAGTCTTGCATCTTGATTTATCTATTGTTAATGTTCTTTGCTTTAAATGAATATTCATCACACTTACCTGAAATTTCCCTGAAATTAGAAATCACTTGATATGGAAATAGAGTGATCACACGGCCACTTCAATCTACTGATTGTGGGAATATACAAATAGTTTCAGAAAAATATATCACTAGGGATCTAAGGCACCTTAATATTTATGAGTAACTTTGATTTACTGCAGGTAGGCGTGTTGTTCACTCTGAATCCACCAACAAAAAGCTCATTGAAGTCAAAAAGATTATAGAGGGCCAACCTATGGTGAATTCACTACCATCTTATGCTTTTTACCTCACTGCATGACTGAGATTGTTTTTTAGCATGATAAAGCATTAAATATCATTTATATCCTTCATTCATCCACTTCAAGCAGGAAATAGATACCAAAGGGCAGCCTTTTGATTTCATCCCTGCAGATCTCCCTCCCAGGGGTAACTAGAACAATTCACAGCCCCTTTAGAATTCATGCATGTTTAATATTTCACTGTGATTCTAAGCCCTCTCGTACTACCAGATCACAATGTTAACGGGTCTACATGTGGCGGCCTCCACTCAATTGGATCTGACATGACACGTACCCGAGGTCGCTCAGAAGCTTACCAGAACGGATCCATTCAGAACGGGCAATCAGCTCATCATACTCCAACTAGCAAGGCAGGGGTCAGGATCCGGAAAAAAAAAAAAAACTCTTTCACAGTATTTCATTACTTCAGCTCTTAATACCGTCACATGAATTGCTAAAACCTGCAACTCCTGCAGCCCATTGCTTCAGTTGAGAGTGGAGTAGCTGGAAAAGATGGCAGAGTGAGGGTCTTGAACGGGGGTGACGATTCTAACTCTACGCAAGACAAGCGCTCGCGAAAATCTAGCATGGTATGTTGCTCATGTGTACTCATTTCTCTTGCTCTTCGTCGGAGGCTGAATGCAGAATCTTTTATTGGCAGGTCAAAGAGCCAATTCTACAGTATGTTGTTAAGCGTCAGAAATCTCAGGCTTAGGGGGAGGTGGGTACGCTTATTTGCAGAGCTACAATTCTACAGAAATGGGCTTAAGGAATATACATTTTTTTTTGCTTGTTCATACAATGCGTAGATATATCTCTCCTGCAGAGAGATCTAGCGCAGTGTAAATTGAGAGCTTCTTCTCTTCTTTGTCACGGGTTTTTATGATGATCAAGGAAATACATACATAATATAGTATTAATCCATGTAGTTTGCTATGATCTTCTGTTCATGCTCTTCTTTATCTGATTTCTGTTTGGGATGGCTAAATTCAATCACTCCTAGAAGAGTTTCTAAAACCAACGGGGAGCTTAAGTTGTTCGCAAAGCTTGATCAATTTTGTATGTAGTTATAAAGAGCCAGTATATAGCACAATAAAAAAAATTCCAACTTTGGCTACAATTTTCTTTTAATAATCGTAGTTGCAATTTGTAATTTTTCACTGTAAAATAGAGCAGGAAGATAATTGTCACGTATACAAATGGGCACTGGCCCACCAAAGGCTGCTGTTAAAATGCAAAGATAACAGCTTGAAATAATTGAAGAAAAAGAAAAAAAAAGGAAAAAGGAAAAAAAAAGAGAAAAAAAGAAGAAGAAAAGAACAGGAATATATGTTTGATTATGACAAGTGGTCTATCCTCTATATTCTCACTCCTTCAAGAACCATCCTGATCCTCGTCCCCTCGCATAAACCCGCTCCCCATCACGTGCGATCTGCAAAAAGGCAAGAAACATGGCCTCTTCCATCTCCGCCCCCTCGGCCCTCTCCTTCCGCCGCTCCGCGGTCGAGCTCCGCCCCGGAGCTCCGCCCCGCCGCCCTCCTCTCACACCCCTCGCACGTGCCACTCCGCCGCACCCTCGCCCCTCCCACGTGCGCCCTCAAGCGCAGCCCTAAGCGCTTGAAGTACGCCTCCCAGCGCAAGTTTCGCAAGGTTAGCACTCTTACCACCTCGTCGTTTAAAATGATGATCTTTTTTATATTATTATTTGATGAAAATGAAATAAAATAAATAAATAATAATGAAGGATGTAGATAGGATGCTCTACGTGGAGATGGATCCTTTGGGAGAAGACGCTTGGAAGCTGGAGCCAGTGATCGAGCTCATCAGAGGCGGGCGGTGGAGTCGGCGTTATCCCCACCGACACTGTGTATGATCTTTCTTCTCAGCATTGCCTCATTTCAATTGAATGAAAGCAAAACATCAAACAACTTGATGAGGAAAGTTTTAGTAGCTCAAAAATATATACCTTTCCTTTTAATTTTGAGAAATCTAGGCTGAATTTTGAAGCGAAACCTTTTAAGCTGTATTCCAATACAATTTTGATGATGAACTTATTTTAATCACGATGATATTCTGGACCTCCCCTTAGAAAGGTGCTATAGTTTATTCTTCAAAAAAAAAAAAAAAAAAAGGAAAAAAAGAGGAAAGGTGCTATAGTCATTTATTCTTCAAAAAAAAAAAAAAAAAAAGGAAAAAAAGAGGAAAGGTGCTATAGTCAACGAGGACTTTACTTCGTTTGGAACTAGTACTCCGGTGAACACGATGCGTCCATAAAACAGAATGTGGTGGGAATGTTGTAATCAAATTGTCAAGAGAACGTGTAGATATGATTTTGAGTGTTCATTTATCTTTTTGGATTTTTGCAAGTTTAATTGCATTTTCTGTAATTTTTTTTCCAAGTGTGAGGACATTCCCTTTGATTTTGTCAATGACTAAAAGAGAGACTTTCGTTAATATATAGTATAGATTTTTTATATACCTTAGAAGTTTTAACTACCAAAGGTGAATGACTATAGTCCTTAAACTCGTTATCATACAGGTACGCTATTGTGTGTGATCTGAGAAACAATTCATCCATTGAACGGCTACGCATGTAACCTCCTCTCTCTTCCTCTGTTGTCCAGTTATACCTAAATACCTCTGTGTATTAAGGCTTCCAATATAATTCTCTTAACCTCTTCTTTTTTCACCGTGCGTGTGCAGAATCAAGGATATTGAACATTCGAAGGCAAGAAATGCTACTCTATTAAATTATATGCGATAGTTAATGTGGTCTTTTACAAGTTTTAATTGATCAATAGCGATGTTTATGCAGCCTCTCAGCATTTTATGTCGCTCTTTGCACGATATAGATACCTATACAACAGGATTTCCACGAGGGAATGCCCAAGGTCAAACAGATATCTTTAGAGCTGTTAAGCATTGCTTGCCTGGGCCTGTAAGAATTCTTGTAGATTATTGGAAAAATTTCATGCTTCTAATTATGAATAACATTAACTTTTGTTTGATAGTATACTTTTATTCTTCCGGCAAGTAAAGAACTTCCCAAGCAGTGTAGACGATATGGGGCAACAGCTAGTGCTTCTAGAAAGCATGTTGGTGTTAGAATGCCAGATGATCCTGTCTGTCAAGCCATTCTAAGAAACTTGGATGCACCTTTGATATCCACAAGGTCAAAATTGTTAACTTAGAAGAAATGCGTGCTTTTGTTGATTAGATATGTTTTCACTTTGTTTGCTAACTATTTAATAAGACTACTTACATACTGAGTGTATGCATATCTTTCCTCAGTGTAAAGTGGCCTGCAGAAGATCAGTGGATTCTAGACCCTGTGATCATTGCAGATATTTATGAGCCAGAGGTATGGACCACAATGTTTAAGAAATTTTTGGTTTTTGGTGAGGTTTATGTTTTGAGATAGTTCTCACTCTCACACTTTCAAGTGTTAGTTTCATCTAAAGTGCATAAAGGTGCTTCACTTTCACACTTTTATTCTCACTTTCACACTTTTATTCTCACTTTCATCTAAACAAACACAGCAGAAGAGTCTTAGAGGAGTCAGAAAACACATGTTACATGTATTAGCGGGGGATAGATTGTAAATGAACGCATAGTATAAGCATCTTGTATAACACCTCAAAGAGATAAATAGCATGTTGATTCTAACAGTGACTCTTCTTGACCTTTGAAATGGCAATCTTATACGCAACGGATTATTGTACCCTTAGCATGGAGTTTCTTCGTGTTGCTGGAGTGATTGGCAGATAGTCGTCACTCTTAAAGCTGTGCGATGATTCTACCTGCCGCTTTGTAAATTGCATTGAGTAGATTATCTCTCTTTACAATATTAATTTCTGAAAGGCAAGTTGGATTGCAGCTATTTGTCGTACTAGGCTTGGTAATGCACGATTGTCAGTATAAGTTCTCATAACCAGGGAGCAGGCTGGTCCTTGACAGTCTTTTAGTACTAAAAGACATTCTTGATTCCTTGAGGAACTTCCTTTGCAAATGGCCTCTTTCTGCAATATTTCTGTTGAATCGGTTTTTAACAAGTATAGAGGGGGATTAAAGAAAAACTGCATTTAGTGAAAGAACAACCTTTGCTGTAATACCTATGCGTT